AAGCGACCATTAAAATGTATGTACAAGTCTTTAAAACTTCCGAAGTTTGAAGAATTTGACTGGACTAAGAATACATTAAAAAAAATGCTTTCGTGTTTCAACTTTTTTAAATTTTAGTGTTTTGACAATGGATACTCCTCGGCATAGCTTCTAAAACCTAAAAAAAAAAATATATTTTTGCCCATAGTTTATTTCTTATAATTAGTATCTTTAGTCTTAAAAAAAATAGTATGTATATAAAAAATTGTGTATATCTTATGGCCTAATAACAATTTATTTTTAACAAATTTTATTGAGCTTGAGGCCCTTTTGATTGACAACTTTTGTGAAAAAACAACAATAAAATATATAAAAAATATATAAAATTGTAATATCAACTGGACAACTATAGATTTACTATAAAATATGGTTTAGCGTAGGAAAAAAATTATAAAATCAACAAACATAAAAAAAGTATGCGCATATCATAAAATATCTACGAGGACAAGGCCAAGTGAAGTTTAAAGAAATATTAAAGGTAAAAAGAAATCATATTCACACTCATAACGTTTTTTGGAAATTTTGAACTTCAAATTTGGCTAAGATATTTAATTTTTTTATTCTATGTATTTTATTTATTTTTCCCGTTTGCAAATGTTAGTTTTTAACTTAGTTTACGTGAAAAAGTAAACATAAAATTCCAAAAAATTTTGGGTCGTCTTTTTAAGCACTAGTTTATTAAAAGTGTGCTCATGAGTTGTAAAAGGGAATGTTAAAACGAAAAAATTGCAGAAAAATTTTTAAATATAAAATGGTTACATTTTAATTATATAAAAAATTCGAAATCCTCAAAATGTGCGAGCTTTCGAAGCTTTTAAAACTTTCTCCATCACAGTTTGCATTTCAATACTTCTGTTTACCAACTGTTCCTATACCAAAATATGTAGCTGGAAGATACACACACATATACATACATATTAAATACAGAATGTTTGCATCTCTCAAATTGTAACTAATCATAATCATAAAAAAGTAAAAATAAATAAGAAGTCACAAAAGGAAAATTAGTTAAAAATAAAATAGAATGAAATTCATTAAATTTATATGAACGACCAATTCGATTGTATATAGTAATTTTATAAAAACTAAACACTACATAAGATTTAAGTGATCTGTAAGTACATATGAATACATACATACATACATTAAAAATAATTTCTAATAGTTGATAAAGTTTAAGTATTGCAAGCAAAATTGCGTTGCATATTTGTATTTGTAAAGCGGCGATTAAAACTAGTAATTTTTGTAACTACCTACTATCTAAAAAAAAAGAAAGTTCTTTGCTATAAAATGTTTACTTTAGTAAATTCATATTCATTAAGTTTTAAAGTGCAATCGACTGCAAGTAGCAAATATGTACGTTTGCTTATACATAAGTTAAATATTGTAAAAAATTATATCTCTTGAATGGTGCATTATTTTAGAAGCGACTTGGAAATCACACACTGCAAAGCAGTTTCTTCCAAGCAGTGAGAAAGCAAAAAAAAAAAAGAAAATTCTATTTTTTCCGTATATGTATGTATTTTCCACTTTAAGAAAACAATTATTCCTTTTGTTTTTAATTATGTTAACTATCTGCAACTATCATTAGCTAATAAAATTGTACTTTTTATTATAAATATGTAATAAGTATTTAATTAAGAGACATTTGTATTTTACCATTTAGGCTGAAGAATTTTAAATTAACTTTTGAATGAAATAATAATAAAGAAAATACATATATAATGATAAATAAAAGATTATAATGCTAGCAAGTGGTTTTATTTCCAATCATACATCACTACTTTCCTTGAAACATCACTTCTTCATATTAAATATCCAAAAAATATCGCATGCGATAATATGCTCCTGTGCGATAAAATTCTCCCATGCGATAAATACCGCGCACAGCAACTGACAAAACACCAATTACACCAGGCGCGCAGAAGTTTGCAGCAAGGCTGACCGGAAATGCAANCCCAAAAAATATCGCATGCGATAATATGCTCCTGTGCGATAAAATTCTCCCATGCGATAAATACCGCGCACAGCAACTGACAAAACACCAAATTACACCAGGCGCGCAGAAGTTTGCAGCAAGGCTGACCGGAAATGCAACCGGGTGCAGGGCGCCTGAAGATATGCAACATTTTTTGAAGTCCCGATCAACGCGCCGTTTGTGAATCCTTCAGTTCTACCAAAAAAACCTAAATGAAAAACCCCCCAATTCTACCAGCAACTCAAACACAATAGATAATTTTTTTTTGCGCTTTGTCAAAAAGCAAGAATTTTTTTTTTCTACTCTTGTTTTTCCTTGTACAACAATCGTGTCCGTAAGCTGGCGGCCAAACAACACAACCAAACGTTAATTTGGTAAAGCACAAACCGCGCCAATTTCACATAAATTCACCTAATCCTACAATTTAAAGTGTAGAAACACTTCATATTTCAGGCTACTGTTTACTGTTCCTTGGTTTCGCGCAAACGACGCACAGCGGAGCGGACAGATGCAGCAGCGGTCGTCGAGTATACCCAGGCGCCACCGGCAACCACACGCTTACAGCGTTTGCAGGACCAGATACCAACGCAAGCGCGCTTCATCGAGTCCTATAATAGTATGAAATAAAAAGCTTTAGTATTTTAACAGCACAATCAAAATATGTGGTTTTAATGCAAACATTTTACCTTGCCGCAGAAGGTGCAGGTATATTTCGAGTGCTGAGTCACTTCCATCTTCTTGACCATCTTACGCAAGGAGGCACCATAACGGGTACCATATTTACCAACGATTCCAACCTTCTTGGTGCGTTTGGCCTAAAAATAGTAATTGTAGAACAAAAAAAATGGCATTAATCAGAGAACAATGACAGCGTACGTAAACATTCACATATATGTAACAAACATGCACAAATTTTAATAATTTTGCTAACTATACCAACAATTGGTCTATAAACTAAATTTTTCAATCATTTGCAATTCACTTTAACTTGCGATTAATGTAATTTATTTCGATTTACTTTGCCCGTACCATTTTTAAGTTGTTGATTTGTCAAAAATTCAACAGGAAAGAAACCAGACGTCACTTGAAGTTGGCTACGTTTGATTTTGACAGCTGGCAAGCACGCAGGGTTGCTTTTCGAACGCAAATAAGGGCGGGTATAGATTGCTGGATTAATGTTATTGACAATTCCTTTTGTAAATTTAAACCACCTTTCATTCAATTGCTTAGCCGTATACCTCTTGCAATCTGCTGTTTGCGTCTTAAGCTGCCTTTACATGAGGCGATTTTTTGACAGGCGATACTCGCCTGCAAAAGTTGACTTGCTGTCTACTTTGAGACAAGTGATTTTTGAAGCACAATTAACACGGCATCGCCTGGGTAAAATATTGTCGTATGTTAATTTCGGCAGGTTGTGGGAAATCGCGATTGAAGTTTGGAATGCAATTTCTCAAAAACGCGAAGATAGATTTTCTCCAAACTCTCTGAAAATGTTACTAGTTCATAAAATGTTAAAACTATTTCATTTTTAACGTTTATTTTTAATTAGTTTTGAGTTTATGAAGAATTTTCTTTAGTAAAATTTTGTCGTAAGCTTCATTTGTCCACAATTTGGCAGCCACTTTTATGAAATACGACAAAATGTGATCAAAATTTCTACCAAATTAACAACACTCTTAACTCAATATCTCGGAAACTAATAGGGAATTTACGTGATTCAACTTTCACAGGCGATTAGTTGAACCAAAAGTTGAACGAAAGTAGGCAGCCGACCAACTTCATTGTAAGCGATTAGTTGAAAGGCCGTTTACACCAGGCGATTGTTGCTTTCAACTAAAAATCGCCTCATGTAAATTCCCTATAAAGGAGATATAAAATGTTGATTTGTCCAAAAGTCAACAGGAAAGAAACCAAACGTCAGTTGCAGTTGGCTACCTTTGATTTTGACAACGGACAACCACGCAGGGTTGCTTTTAGAACGCAAATAAAGGTGGGTATAGACTGCTAGATTAATGTTACTGACAATTGCTTTTGTAAATTAACCACACATTTAATGCAATTGCTTAGCTGAATACCTCTTGCAATCTGCTGTTTGCGTCTTACAGATCTTTTCTTACGTGATGACAAATCTCGTCGCAAATACTATTGTCAGAAGTTTTTTGCCTAAAAGTATTCCGAAGAAACTACCTTACAAAGTCCACAAGAAATGTCGGAAAGCGCTTTTTAAAACAATGACGTTTTTTGACACCCCAACTATGACATTAGCAATTTCGGCTAGAATTTCCTTTGTGCGAGAATTGGGCCTTTAATTTGGCAGCCAGCCTACAAGCTTACTTCTCCCCCGAACGGCAGATACTTTTTAGAAGCTCTTACGGAGATTTGCCATTGCGATGCTAGGGCGACCACTACTGGAAAACAAATTTTTTTAGAGGTTGGTGGGAGCAGGAATCCATTCTGGGTCGTTTGTGCTAATTTTACCAAATCTGAAACTACCACTAACCACTACTACTGGAGCGTACAGCGCCACAAAATAAACATTACCGCAATAGCTGATTTTGGCACATGCAGCTAATTTTTGATTTGTAAAATAAAACTAATAAAAGCCCTTAGAGTTAAGCGATAAAAATGTTTGCTATAGTGATTGCGGTTGTTTCTTTCACAGTATAGTTTCTTTTGTTCACATGTTTATCAGGTTTTGAAAACCGCAGGTACAAGCATATGTAATGGTTGCCATGTCAATTCAAAACCTTTAATTCATTATAGTACATTTTCCAGAAAGTAAAAATTACACCCAACGTGAAACAAAAATTTCGCTTTGCGTTTAAAAGCGCATTTTACAAAATTATTTGCGATATAACATTAGTTTTCAAGCAACTTTTCTTACAAGGCCGTTTAAGACATACGGCAGTGGGACCTAGCTGCACAACTGAATTCCTCAACGTCAATTGCTCAATGAAAATCCTTCAGATGTGGCAACGCTGAACAGCTGGTATTCACTTGTTTTCGTTTTGTTATGTTTTATCGCAAAAATGTACGACACAGAACTATTTAAATATTGATAAAATCGTGGAAAGGTGATTATTCTTTAATTAGCGGCAAACAAGATTAACGCAGAAATAAAAGCGAAGAGAACACTTGCGGAACGAAAGCAAAGTAATTGTATGCTAAATATCAGCAAAAGGGAGACTTGCGTGTCAGGGGTTGCGAAAAGTTGATATTCTTGGGAAAGTTGCAGGTATTTTGTAATTTTTCAATAAAAGCGAAGAATCGATGCTCATGCGTATGAACAAATCTTTTCAATCAAGCAACATAAGAAGAATGTGCGAGTCCAAATGTTTTACACTGCTAAAGGATCCAGGTTCCTACACACCAGACACCATAGACTTGAATCAGGATAAAGATGCGGCTTCTTATTGGTTTCCTTGTTTTCGAAATCTTATAGAAAAATTTGCCACACAAGCAGCAGAAAGTCAACGTCAAACCGATGCAACAGCCATCGAGCGTTCGGAAAAATTTCGCAAATCTTATTTGGAAAAGTTGGATGAGTACCAAAGAAATACAGAGGTTAATGCAACTAACAAAACTGTGCTCGGTGTACGTGAATTGCTTGAATTGAATGAGACAAAATTGCGCCTATTTGGCTTCGCAGATCCGTGGCAACAACAAAAACAATTAGAAAACACTGCAGCACTTGCAGCCTTGAAGAAGCGACTCGAAGAGTTGGATGCCATTGATGATAATGCAGCGCGTTGGACAGAACTGGTGCGTGGTGTGCTCGCTGGCAATATGTTCGATTGGGGAGCGCAAGCTGTGACGAGTATTTTGGAACAAGATTCAAAATTCGGTTTACATGCAGCGCTAGATCGTATAGAGAAGCGGCCATGGCTAATCGACAACTTGGATGCTTGGTTGCAACGTTTGCGTGGCAATGCGCATAAATGTGCGCTCATTTTCGTAGATAATAGTGGCGTAGATGTAGTATTGGGCATGTTACCTTTTGTGCGTGCACTGTTGCAACGTGGCACCAAAGTGTTACTATGTGCTAACACGGAACCCTCATTGAATGATGTAACGAGCCGAGAGTTGTCTGATTTGCTGGATAAATGTTGCAAATATTGCAACGTTTTAGCACATGCATGGCACGATCAGCGATTACTAGTCTACGCAAATGGACAGCGGGGTCCATGCTTGGATATGCGCACTTTGCCAGTGGAATTGTGCGAGGCCATACAGAAACATGAGACTGATTTGTTGGTGATCGAAGGTATGGGGCGTGCGCTGCATACGAATCTCTATGCGAAATTCAGCTGTGAGACACTTAAACTGGCTGTCATAAAGAATAAATGGCTAGCCGAACATTTGGGCGGTGATACGTTTGCAGTTATTTGTAAATATGAAGGCGCCAGCTAGTTAATATCATCTAATTTCTACCACCGTTTAATTTGAGATTAGATTACCTACTTTTGATTAAATGTATTCATTGATGATCCAGTCATGCAAATAGGACGATGAGAGCAAAATAAAGCATAATGAATTGGTAATCACAGCAAAGTACACATGCAAATAAACAGAGATAAAAATTATAAAAATATGTAAGTTGAACCGGACGTAAGGAGGCAGTAGAGACTTGACGGAGCGACGTTTGAAGGCATTGGTGTCAATAATCGAGCACCAATTAATGATCCTTTATTATACTTAAAAAATAACAAATAACACATTTTAACAATTTCTTTGTGAAGAGGCAAAGCAAGATTTTCGGAGTTAAGTCTATGTCAATTGTTGTGAACAAAATAAAATTTGTAATTTTACTAAAAAAGAACAATTCAGATAATGCATATTTTTATTACACAACACTTTAGTCTAGCGCGATAAGCACTTTACATTCAGTTTATCACATAACCTGTGTTACTTTTTACCCAGGCCTCTATTTGTTATTGTTGATTAGGTGGCACAGCTTAGGCAGATGTAAATCATTAACTGTGAATTTTAATACTATCTACGTACATATCGTTAGTATAGTATGGGTATAGTAAGGAAAGGGCGGATACGACATCGTCGCTGAAATGCAAAAAAAAAAAGCCACAACTAACATTTTTTATTTCATAAAATGATGCGGGGACTTATGATTCGATGAAATGCATCATAATCAAAGGGTGAGTTTTGGGATTTTTAGTTAGTTACAGCTTTTTGTATTTCAGCGAAGATGTTAGTTACGCTACCCCATTTTTATAGATTATTATTTTTTTTTTATTTCGAAGCTTAAAACCAATGATTCTCGTTTTAAATGCTGTAAAATTGCAGGTGGGAATAATTTTTTTATTTAATGTTTTTTAAGTTCAAAAGTAATTTAAATTCGCTAATTGAAACCATAACCCTTAGATACCTACTATATGTATAATACCTAGTTTGGCTAAGTGATTAAGCAAACCAAATCCTCGCAGCGAATTGTCAACCAAAACTTCTTAATCCTCACCATAAGCGCATGTAAATCATATGACATTGCAACACCCGCAAAATATTCTAGCGAGCGTGTTGGCATGTAGGTACATACAAACAAATTGCATAGCCGAGAAGCATAATTGCTGACCAATTTTAAAGTGTAATTAAAATTAACGCAAACGGATGTTGCAGTCTAGTCGGCAAGTTGAGCCAAAATAGCAGATTTGCTGAGTGAGATATACATACATAGATGCAAGTCAGCAAACTATCTAAGCACATAAGTATGTACATCTACAGAGTGAACAAATATATGTACATACAAATACATACGTATATGCAGGCTTTGGAAGATATTTCGCTTCAGATGGTGGCAATAATCCATTTTAAAATGACTTTGTTCAACGGCTGAGTTGTGAGGCATTAAAAACTTTCGTCAGCGCACACCAAATTTTCCAGCAAAATTTCACCGAAAACTTCTCACATCAAATTCATTATTAGTTGTTGGTGCTGTTGGAAAGTTTGTCGTTAAAAAATGTGTTATGTATATATGAATGTGCCTGTCGTCGTTTACGTTTCTATCATTCTATGTCATCATGCCAAATATACTGCGGTCTCCTCTAGGATCCAGGAGCACCCATGCGAAATTTTCAAAAACTATAGTTCGATTTTATTTACGTATAAGACTAGGCTTAATTTGCTGCAACTTTGGCTATTAAACTCATAAAAAACTACTAACATGTACATATGTAAGCCGTATTGAGAGATTAATGAATGTTGTTGACCAAAACTAAATCCGAAGTTGTCCCAAAAATTCGGCAAAAGGACCGAAAATTAGAACCAGTCCCGAAAATACTGAAGTAGTNCATAACCTGTGTTACTATTTACCCAGGCCTCTATTTGTTATTGTTGATTAGGTGGCACAGCTTAGGCAGATGTAAATCATTAACTGTGAATTTTAATACTATCTACGTACATATCGTTAGTATAGTATGGGTATAGTAAGGAAAGGGCGGATACGACATCGTCGCTGAAATGCAAAAAAAAAAAGCCACAACTAACATTTTTTATTTCATAAAATGATGCGGGGACTTATGATTCGATGAAATGCATCATAATCAAAGGGTGAGTTTTGGGATTTTTAGTTAGTTACAGCTTTTTGTATTTCAGCGAAGATGTTAGTTACGCTACCCCATTTTTATAGATTATTATTTTTTTTTATTTCGAAGCTTAAAACCAATGATTCTCGTTTTAAATGCTGTAAAATTGCAGGTGGGAATAATTTTTTTATTTAATGTTTTTTAAGTTCAAAAGTAATTTAAATTCGCTAATTGAAACCATAACCCTTAGATACCTACTATATGTATAATACCTAGTTTGGCTAAGTGATTAAGCAAACCAAATCCTCGCAGCGAATTGTCAACCAAAACTTCTTAATCCTCACCATAAGCGCATGTAAATCATATGACATTGCAACACCCGCAAAATATTCTAGCGAGCGTGTTGGCATGTAGGTACATACAAACAAATTGCATAGCCGAGAAGCATAATTGCTGACCAATTTTAAAGTGTAATTAAAATTAACGCAAACGGATGTTGCAGTCTAGTCGGCAAGTTGAGTTGAGTTTGCTGAGTGAGATATACATACATAGATGCAAGTCAGCAAACTATCTAAGCACATAAGTATGTACATCTACAGAGTGAACAAATATATGTACATACAAATACATACGTATATGCAGGCTTTGGAAGATATTTCGCTTCAGATGGTGGCAATAATCCATTTTAAAATGACTTTGTTCAACGGCTGAGTTGTGAGGCATTAAAAACTTTCGTCAGCGCACACCAAATTTTCCAGCAAAATTTCACCGAAAACTTCTCACATCAAATTCATTATTAGTTGTTGGTGCTGTTGGAAAGTTTGTCGTTAAAAAATGTGTTATGTATATATGAATGTATGTATATCTGCCTGTCGTCGTTTACGTTTCTATCATTCTATGTCATCATGCCAAATATACTGCGGTCTCCTCTAGGATCCAGGAGCACCCATGCGAAATTTTCAAAAACTATAGTTCGATTTTATTTACGTATAAGACTAGGCTTAATTTGCTGCAACTTTGGCTATTAAACTCATAAAAAACTACTAATATGTACATATGTAAGCCGTATTGAGAGATTAATGAATGTTGTTGACCAAAACTAAATCCGAAGTTGTCCCAAAAATTCGGCAAAAGGACCGAAAATTAGAACCAGTCCCGAAAATACTGAAGTAGTTATAAAAATCCCCGGGAAACTTCGGAACTGTGCCGAAACCCCTGAAATAGGTCCGAGAATCCTGAAGTAGTCACAAAAATATCGAAATGCTAGTCCCGAAATTCGAGTCCTACGAATCACGAAATAGTCCCAAAAATCTCGAAATGGTCCGGAATCATTCTCGGATATCCCGAAACAGTTTCAAAAATTAAGAAATATTTCCGAAAATATATACAAAAGTAGTCCTGAAAAGTACCGAAACTGTCCCAGAAACACTGAAAGGTCCCAATAATCCCAAAGTGGTTACGAAAATATCGAAATAGACCCGAGAATTTAAAATAGTTCCAAAAATATCGGAGCGTTTCCAAAAATTCCGATAATCCCGCAGTAGACACAAAAAGCTGGAATCTGAAATTAATACATAAAAAAATACAGAAACAAGAGTATTTAAATAATTCCCAAAACTCCGTGATACTTCCGGGAATGCCGAGGTAATGAAAATCTCGAAATACATAGCTTCAATAATACCGAAACATTTCCAAAAATACCGAAATAAACCTGAGAATCCTGGAATAGTCTGGAAAGTCCCATGAAATACCGAAAAATGTGTAAAACATCCTAAAAAAATCTCCAAAGTACTTCAAAAATAATAATTCCGAAAAGAAACATAATAAGAATCCTGAAAAATTGTAGGTCCAAAAACGTTGCGCCTTTACAAAACTACCAGAAAAAGAAGTTCGCCCTGCACCCCTGTTTCTAAGGCCATCTTAAATCTTAAACTTTTGCTAAGAAACATTTTTATTTTATTGTCGAATGTACATACATAGGTTACACCGAAAAAGTTTTTTTTTTGCATTGACTGCTTTATAACTCATCCAATCTTGATCAAGGATCAATCTCCATATCTAGTCAATCTGCAGACTGACGGGTAGCTGCCGTCATCTCCTGATTCGCGTCATAAGGAAGCTGAGTCAGCTGGCAATTATTTATGTCCCTAACGACATGTCTATCATTTCGTACTATTTTATGGATCACGTAGAGACCATTATACTGTAGTATGAGTTTCTTATTACCCCCGACTGACGCATCAACATTTATCACGGCGACGTAGTCACCACACTGTACGACTTGGTCCCGGTGGTTTTAATAATTTCTATAGCATAGTATCAAAATATCCTACTCCCAGTTTCCACTTGCGCGTTAGCCTGCGGAGAGGCAACTGCCTATGTTTTGCCCATCAAAAAAGGACCGAAGTCCATGGAGGCGAAACAGATCCCCTATTACTTACAATTCATATTGGTCGGCTATAGTAGCTGAAATATTTCTCGAGAATGGTGATGATCTCTCGAGTACTGATAGAGTTCGTTGGATAGAGCTTGAAGAACTTCGTAAAGGAATCGACTACTTACCACTAGGATGAGTTTCCGTTTTGACCTGATCGACAGTAGCGGTCCGAAATGGACTATATGAGTAGTGTCAAACGGCAGTGGAGTTTGGTGCATGGCGTATAAGGTTCTCTCCCTAGCTTGTAGAGGTGTAGCATATATGATGCATTTCAAGCAGTTTCTTATGAACTTCTCTTCTTAAATCGCATATTTGGAAACCAGTAGTACAGACAAAGTTTATTGAGAGTTTTATCAACCGATATTGGCAACGTTACACTCCATCTCGTAAGGTATGTATAGTGCTCTCTTGTCATTCGATCTCTTCCTATATATAAGTCCGTACACTAGATCTTAGTCTTTTAAGTCTTCGTTTAATAAGCGATTTCGTAGAGACTCAATAGTTTTGTACCGCTCCTGGGCAACCTGTAATTAGAGCTGAATGCCGTCTGGGGTTATGATTGA